CTCTTTGGTCCTTAACTTCCAACATTCCCTTTTTACCCTTCACTCTCAGATGATGGTCTTACTTTCTTTTTCACTGAAAACATCAAGCGAGAACATCCACCTGTTCCCGCACTTACATACATTCACTGCTTGCCCCTATGCCATGTTCTGTCCTTCCTTCCAGTCACAGGAGGTGGAAAACCCACTTCACCTACACAAAGGAAAGGGAGCCACGAATTTTGGAGAGACAGATCCCTGCACAGCATACTGAGTCCCTTCTGCTTCTTATTCACCTGCCATTCCCTTGTTCCAGTCCTGCAGGGTACACAGCTCCTACCTACACTTGCCCATGGGACAGAGGGCTTACTGCTGTACCCTCACAGGGATGAATTTATATGGATAACTTAGGTCAAGGCACATTATTTTTTATGACCTTTTTATCTTTAGTCACATCCAGATATCTGGGAAAATCAGAGCCTAGTATCACAGACATGTTTTTCAGGTGCTGAATTCCTTATTCAATTTTTAAATATAGACCATCTTAAAATATTTGTGGTGTTGACTGTAGCAATTTGAGCTTTGGCCTTTGAAATTTATTCATAAATGTTTTAAGTATGGCGACCTGAGTTTTATTGAAGGAATATAACTATATGCATTTCTATTTGCTAACTGAGCTCACAAGATATATATCATAATAAAATGATTTCAGTCTCATTAAAAACTTTGTAGACATTTTACTGGCTGAATAATCTTTCATTATAATAGATGTGCCAAAATTACCTATTATAGTAATTTAACTATTTAGAATGCTTACATTTTTGCCTATTATAAATAAAAGTATGATGAACACATATTCCATATAGTTTTGTCCTCATCTGATTTTCCTAAGATTATATTGCATTCTAATGGTTCAGCGGGTGCCAGAAAGATTAGTTTAAGGAAAGTTTTAACTACTAGTGCCAAAAAAAGGAAAAAGAAAATGAGTTGTGTTATTGGGATGTAATGTGCCTTTCATCCAAAATGCCTTTTTTTCTTGCAACTCTAATGTTTAACATGTAACCAAATATAGAGAGTAATGGGAGGCACAGGTAATGAGGCCTGATTCTCTGGGGTGCAACTGTAAGTCTGCCACTTACTCATTAGGACAAATAATTCACATTCTTTACACCTCAGTTTTCTCATTGGTGAAATGCTACTAATAATAGTCCCTGCCTCGTTGGGATGTTGTGAGAATTAAATGTGGTAAGAATTAATTTATGTAAATCTCTTGGAACCATGCCCAGCACAAAGTAAATGCTCACTGAATGTTTGTAACAGTAACAGCAACATCATCTCAGAGAATATTTCCTAATTTTACATTCTCAAACGTTAGTCTTTTGTTTCTATTTCCATGGCATCCCAAACACTAAAGTTGCTCAAATTACTTCTCAGACTATTCCATACCTGCAAATAAATGCATGGAATGTGCTTTTTTAAAGATTCCTGGAATTGTTTGAATTTTAGTTGTACACGTAAATCACACAGCCTGTGCCTAGATCCATAAATAGCCAGTGGCAGAATTCTTCTGAGCAAAATGTTTTTCATAGATGGTTTGGGGCTTTAATAGCTTTTACCTTCAAGTACAACAGTTATCATGAAGAAATCACTAAAATAAAAAAGGAAGGTGTGGTGTGAACTAATTGGATATATCTCCAGTGGAAAGAGAAAGCTGGCCATCACAATCAGTATCCCAAACCCAAGGTCATTTTCCTACTGCAGCTACACATTATGAGAAGGCTGCAGGAGGGTCTTTCTAAACGCATTCACTTCATTGGAACAGTAAGGCTTTTGGCCCTATTTGGAGTCCCTGCCAACAGCTCGACTGAACCTCACTAGTGATGTCACTAGTGACTCTTGCCTGGAGAAGGCAGGCCTAAGTGCCCTCCTTGGCCTTTTTTTTTAGATGCTCTAGGCCTGTCTTATTATGCCAATGGCAAAAAAGGGAGGATTTAACTGGAAGAAAAGTATACAAAGAGAGGAGTTGCCTCAATATGAGAGTTTCCTCCTACCATTCCCCGAAAGCAGGGTTTTTCAACTTCAGTTCTACTGACATTTGAGACCAAATAACTCTTTCTCATAGCAAGCTGTGCTATGCATTATAGGCCTCTACTCACTGGATTCCAATAGCACAAAATTCATCCTTGTCATGACAACCAAAAATATCACCAGACAAAATTAGCTCCAGGTGAGAACCACTGCTTTAAATCCACACTGTAAAAAATATATAAATAAATAAATAAAGCCACACTGTAATAATGTGTTTCCTTCTACTCCTGGGCTTGGCTGACTGGTGTCATACTCCTCAGAGAGTCATGTGATGAAAGGGGCCTTGAGCACCACCTCTAAGTCTCACTAAACTGTATACAATCTGAAATGGACACCCAGAAGCATAAAAACTATCCACTCTACCGACTTTATGTGGCCAAGGCTCAAATCATGTGTTCCTCAAAAGCTCAATTCCAACTAAAGAAATTTATCTCTTCCTTTCTCTCAAAGTTAACATATTTGTACTATATGTTATTAAAAATTAATATTGAGATAATTATGTGCAATATAAGGTAATTATATCAGTTAAACAATCGATTTTAAAATCATCACTTTTTCTTACATTTTTATAGTGAAAATGTATAGTCTTCAAGGTACATCTTCAAGAATATTAGTCACCTAAAAAATGTGCATTCCTTTAAAAATATGTGTGCATTACTTTAAAAATGTGTATATATTCCGCATTTCTGATAGTCTCAGAGTTACTAAGCTACTTATTTTCTAACAAATTTAGTAAATACTACATAACATTCATGTGGTATTTTCATGCTTTGTGCACAAGCTCAATTTTTTGTGCTACTTTGGTATATATTAATAATGAGTTTATATTGTAAAGTTTATTGTTAATGACAATCACATCTATGTTGTTTCTGTAGAAATTAAACTATCACAGAAATTCACTTACATTGATGTGATTACTGGTATCTGATTTCTAAGAGATTTGCATTATATAGTCCATTTTAATGTAAACTGATGAAATAAGCTCATATTACCTTTTTTACCTTAGAATAGTTCTACTTTGCAAAATTTGTTGAATCTGAAGCCCCCAAATTCGTACTAAACCTAAAATGTCATGTCCTGATTTTAACACTGAAATGTTGCCAAACAATTCCTCCTGTATTAGTTTTAATATTGAGAAAGAATTAAGTCTGGATATGAGATTTTTTAGCTAACTAGTTTGAAATCTTACTGCTTTTTCAGTGTTTTAATTGATTTCTGTCTACTATTATGAAAAACAGTCACATGCAAAAGGGGCCCCTTTATGAAATATATAGTAGCATATATTTGTACTTTTCATTTTCTCTTGCTGTTTATCTGAATATTTCCTTTAGAAGTAATCTTGGCAGATATCTATGTGAACTATAGTTAGTTCATAATTAAAAATTTTTTTTCTTTCCTTGGTTTTTATGAGCTTATAAATGACCCACAGAGAAATGCAATTGAACTATTAATTGGTAGTCATCTGATTTAGGTAGATTTTATATAACAATATTAATGAAAGCTAGCTTTTATTGAGTGTTTGGTGCTAAATGTAACTCTTTCCTAAATTATTTTTATATATTATTTTTATGTAATCCTCCTAGAGATATGAGTTTATTATATATTTATGTATATAATTGTCCCCATACTTTTTAAATTGCCCATTATCCTAACTTCTTGGTCAGTCAGTGTCTTGGGAATATCTTGTCATTGAAAGTGTGTTGTCTAGTGATAAGTATCAGTGAGTTCAAAACATTGCTAGATTTTATGATAAAAATGTTTTTAAAAAATGACATAAAGAAGATGAAGAAAGGAAAAGAGAAGAAGGGGAGAAACAGGAAAAGAATGAGGCTTAACCCGTCTCCAGAAATCTGGTTGAAGCCATGTAACCTAGAAACATGAGACAACAGAATTATGAACTGAGATTAAGATGACATGTAGTCAAGTGTAGATTGTGTAGTGGTGTGTTATAGGAATTTGGAGTTGGAAAAGGTCATCAAGACCTGGGGTTAGCTAGAGAAGCTCTGTGGGCAGTTGATTCTTATCTCAACCTCAAAGGAGGTTAGGATTTGGTTTGGTCTTAAGCAGTTGATTGGCCAGTGATGAACAGATGACATTCCAGGTGGAAGGACAAGCTTGAGAACAGTCCTAGAGATGAGAAAACGCTTCCAGTGAAACAAATACAGTTGATCCAAAGGTTGGAAACTTTCCTGCAATTTTGACATGATTTTTACACAGTTTTAGGAAAAGAATACTGGTCGTATTCACATTCTTTATGGTCTAAAATAAGAGAGCATGTGGGTATTTCTAAAGTTAAAGGGAGCACATAACCTCAGATATAAGCAGTCAGTATACCTGGTATTCATTTGGCATGTGTGTTGTTCACGCTTTCAGAGATATGAGAACTAAAAGGTCGTGTTTTTCCTATTTATTTCCTTAATTAAAAATTTATTAGACCTTATTTTGCTCTACACAGAAAAATACAATAGAAAGTATTAGCAAACTGGTACTGTATTTTGCTTATTGGTAATAAAAATTTTTAGACATCTTTCTGACATTGGTATTTTTTTTATTTCAGTGGGTCTCCACCTTTTATTTTTCTGCCTCTCTCTATTCTTTTCTTCACTTTAGGTTGCAGTCTGATATACTCTCCTAATCTTTACCTACATAAAATGATTATTCTAAGAAGCGTTAGGCCTGGGGAAGATTTATATGAGAATACAGGAGAGGGATATGGGGCTATATATGGTTTGAAAGTTCCCCCTTAAAAATATCAGTATCTCTTCTTCACTGTGCCTTTTGCTATGTAATAATTGCTATGTGCATTTTAAATTCCATACCTAGTTGATTTTTTGGAGTATTAATATGTTAGATTATTAATAAATTAGAATAAATTATTTTAATACCTTATTTTTAAAAATTTTTTTCATTTCTCTTTTTTTAATTTTATTTTCTAGATCCCAAAATCCAGGAGTGCAGGATCTATTCTGTCCCACAGGGTACCACAACCAGAGCTATCCGATGGCATTCCTCAGGTCAGCCTGCGGCTGAGTCGTGGAAAACCCTGTTGGGGTGACATGAAATCAGCAGAGGATGCTAGTGGGACCTCGTTGGTCTCCAGGTTGGCATGTTTCTTTTTTTACGTTACCTATTGCAGTGTAAGTCTACATATGTAGATATGTCCGTATGTATCTAATACTGCGGTCAATAGGATGCAGATCAGTAAAACTTATTTAAAGTTCACTCTAAGTTTTGATAATTTTCTGACTAGTAGTTCTTATTACAGAAGCATTCCTGGTTATATTTTATATTCTGGATTAGAAAAATTAGTTCATTAATCGGACCATGTAAGACTCACAGTTTAAAGTTGGAAGAGTTACTTTTTGGATGCTTTTTCATAGTATATTCAGTGGCCCATAAGATATACAATTATAGTAGACATCACAGTTGTTACTACAACCAACACTCACTAACAAATCTTGAATGTTGGCTTTTAACCATTATGTTGCACATTATACGAAAGCAAATTTCTTTGATATACTTGAAGAAAAAGGCATGCATTTTTTTTAAAATAGGAAAAATGAAGTATGAATTTTATTTACTCATAAAGAATTTTTCCTTTTAAGAATTTTAAAAATTTTTATTATAACTTAAAACCTATTTTTGAAATTTATAAAAATTCCGTTATAAACATAACACAGACCTAGAGAATTGAAAGATATTTAAGATATTAAATAGATAAATAAGATAAAGAACTTACCATTTTGAATTGCTTTATAGAAGAGATGGAGTTTTAGCTGGAATTAAAAAATAAAGATAATTTAAATTAGACAAAAAAGAAGACAAGGCTCTTGTAGATAGGCCAGTTACAAGGCACAGTGGGTATTTGAGAAATAACAGACAAGTGTCATGTGATGAATTAACTGATGATAAAGCTGGGAAGGTGGACTAAGGCCAGGTCATTGAGAACCTTGAATGGCAGCCTGAAGTGTTTTTACATTCAGTCTTTCTTTCACTAAACAAATGTTCAGACTTACCTCTCTTTTCAGGAAGTGCTTTAAGACAAGGGATGCAGCAGTGAACGAAGCCAGCCAAGCCCCTGTGTTTATGGCCCTTACATTCCCACGAGGAAGGCAATAGCAAGACACTTAGAAAAAAATAGAAGAAGGCTTGTGAAAATCATTTCAGCTCTAATAAATGGGAACTTTGAGAAACTAAAGCAGGTTAATGCAACAGACTAACTCAAAGGGAATTTTAGTTTGAGTAGGTGGGGAAGGCCTGAATTGAGACATGAAGGGGGAGGAGGAGAGAGTCTGTGAAGATCAAGGAAAGAGCATTTCTACGCAAAAGAACTGAGGTCAGGAAGCTTGGCTTCTTCCTGCAGGTCATAGGAAGGCAATGGGTGGGGGTATGTGATGAGAGCCATGGCAATTTGGTGTATCAAGAAAAGTAATCTTTCATTGGCATGCAGGATTGGTTGGAAGAGTGAAAGTTTGGGGTTATGGTGTTGATTCCTTCAATGGTTGTTAATCTTTATTGAAATCTAGTTAAGTGGCACTTACTTGCTGGTTTCTGGGGATTCAGAGAATGAGAGAAGTAAATCTTGCATTTAGGAGGACAGAGGACAAGTGAATAAAAATTCAATAATTATCATTAAATACTCATTTACTAAGTGCCTGTTATGTACCAAGCACTGTCAAATGGGCTGGTGAGAACGTCATAAATATGATTCAGGTGCTCTTCTTAAGAAGTTTTGAATACAGTCCACAGGGTGTTGTGTGAAGACGAAAGAAGGACACAGACCATGTTGGGAGATGAGGATCAGAGAAGGTTTTGGAAGGAAGGCAACTTTTGAAGTGAGGCTAGGAGGATGAGTGGAAGTTTACTGAGCAGGGAAATGGAGATAAGGGTGCTCCTGGAAGAAGAAAACGACATGTGCAAGGATGTGCAGGGTGGTGAGGACAACTTGGAGGAGGATAGTAAGTGCAGCCTTAGATTCAGGACATCTGGTGTTTAGAGTGGAGGAGAAGCTAAAGGTGGTTTGAGAGACTAAGCTAAACAGGTCAGCTCATATACATCACATGAAGGAGTTTGAATTTTCTCTTGAAAATGATGGGGAGTGATTGGAGGAATGTAAGAAGGAAAGTAATATAAACAGACTTGTGTTTTATAAAAGATCTGGTGGCAAATGGAAAGAAAGATTAAAGAGAACAGTAAGAGGTGCTAGAAAGGTAGGGAAGAGACTCTGGGGCAGTCCAGTGCAAACTGAGAGCCTCTGTGAAGCCATCGTCACCACTGAGGACAAGGAAATGTGGACAAGTCTTTGTGCCTTGAAGGGAAGAGAGAGGAGGGCTGTTGATTAGAAGAGTGGACTTGGTATAAGAAGGGTTGAATTTTTTGTTTGTTTTGCTTCATTTAGGGTTATTATAATATTTTAATGAATAAAATGTATGCAGATTTGTAAGCATAACAGGTAGAGTTCATGGAGAGAAAGAAGTTAATGTTACAAGCCAGAAAATTATAGAGCAAGGACCCCTCGGAGGGAATTCGGAGTTGAGATAGCTACCTCCTGAGTAAAGCAGGTTGGGCACCTTGTACACAGCTACAAAGGTGTCTTCACGTTGTAGCCTCTGTGATGGAGCGGGCTCCTGGCCTTGTACAGTGCAGTCTTCACCACTGAGGGGGAAGGGTGTCAGTAAAGGAACTAGCCTTGATCAGTGAGGACCAGTTCAGGAAAGAATAAGGGGCACAGATACAAAACACTGGCCCTTTTTAGAGTTTCCTTCTCTGATTTAAAAACCAGGATCAAGTGGCTGGCTGACTGATAAGAGCTAGTATAGTTATCTTCCTAAATTAGTTTGTAAAGAATTATGCCAAGAATACCTCAAGTGAAATAATGAAAAGAAAAATTCAAGTGTTTGTTGTTTATATCATTATTTTTATTCATCCAATCAGAAAAGGAAAGAAAAGTTTCCTGCTTCTAAAGGCAACAAGAAAAGTGCTTTCTGTTTGGATGGTAAATTTGTGTTTCTGAATACAGGTCAAGTAAGATTATAGAAAGAAGGCTCAGCTAACATCGCTCTAGCGACTCTGTTCCTCTGGTCAGCATCTCTCCAGTTAAAACAAATGCATATTAATATTAATGAATTTCTTACATACTTTCCAATTTTGTAAAGTACAGCCTTGAAGAACTTACTTTTTCACATACAGCAGCCTTAAAGGTTTAGATAGAACAGCATCATCCATGTCAAACCTTGCTACCCACCATCACACAAACACTCATTCAACTTCTTGTTTCCATACAAAAATGTAGTGTCTGTTCAGTGATTTTTACTTTTTTACTTTTTCTATATCTCTAATATATTGTGAGACAAATTATCAAAAAACAAGTAGAGATATTAAAATAAATTTAACTAAAAATAAGTTTTAAATCCTTTATGTATCTTTGAAGTAACAGAATAGATATTATGCCAGGTTTCATTTCAAAAATGAACGTATGAAGCTGATTTCATTGGCAGTTACTTTCCAGAACAAGTTATTGGTTAATTTTTGAATTTTAAATAGATTTTTTAAAGTGTATTTTGCACACAGAGACAACTTTCTCTAAATCTTTTCTTTAGACAAGCTTCCACTTTTCCCCTTAACAATTTATTAGTTACCCCACTCTTAAACACAATGGTTGGCAATGTGTATTAAGTGTTATGCCCCTGTTCTCCAATACAATATTTACTTTGGCTTACCAACTTTCTTTTCAAGGAATTGTCACAAAGCATTTAGCTGGGATTTTTCTAATAGTTAGTTAGTTCATCTTAGAAAAAGAAAAAAAACAATAAAGCAAAATGTTTGTCCTATGATCTGGTTTGACCTCTGATCTTGTAAGTTTGGTTTACTTTACAAAACAAAAAAATAACATCATTCTGTTTGCACTTGTTAAAATTAGTGTAACGCATTTATAAATAACATTTTCATTTCAGCAGTTACCATATCAGTTAACAACAAAGATAAAACCAATTAAGTACCTTTGCTACTTAGATTTCCAGAATGTTGAAGTGTCCTATGATTTTTCAACAACAGGTTAAAGGTTGATTTCTAGGGCTCTAGAGAAGTAATTTTTGTCTAACAGTGTGGTTTTGATAACTTTGAATTTTTAGAGTTTAGACCTTGTCCAGTATTTTCCTCCAGATCATTCTTCTTAGTTATAATTCTTACACGTAGTCCCATTTCTTCTTGATATGTAATAGAAATATGAATTATTAGCAGCAAGTGTTCATTATTTTTCTGCTCTTTAAACAGTGGCAGTAAAAATAAAAGCATAGAGGAGTAACACATGTCAAAATGTGATGTTGTGAGAGTCCAAAGAGGAGCTAGATAACATTTATTGCTTATTGGCTGATTAAATAACTTTTTTTCCTATAGTTCTATAATTGTCTAAAATTGTCATTGAGGATATAATTTTATAAGCAATAGTAATTTTTCTAATCTTCATAGAATCTCTTACAATTAAATTGGCTTCATGAGAAAAGCTTCAGGATAAATATCTCTTGATTTTGGTAGAGCTTAGTGGAATGATCTGTTTTATACTGCAGTCCAAACCAAAGACATGCTTAGTGACATGTTCACATCATTTAATAAGAGCATTAGCTAATCCATCTATATTATCTAAAACTGACGGCAATTCCTAAAATACTATTAAAAATTCTTTCTCTGTAACTGTGCATTACTGAAATTCATAATAGACTTAAAAGCATAATTTCTAATCTTTCATGCCTACTTTATTTTTTTAATTCCTTTTTTATTAAATTTTTTGGGGTGACATTGGTTAATAAAATTATATAGGTTTCAAGTATACAATTCAATAATACATCATACGTATATTGCATTGGAAATTTCCCATTTCCTGTATTGTTTCCTCTTCCTGTGATCTCCCTTCCTGCCAAGTGATCTCCAAGTCTCCCTTGCCAGTGGCTCCCCTTCTTTCTACTGTCCCTTCCACAGCTAATCTAGTGTTAGAATGATGATTTTCAAATCACTAATTTGGACCTGAACCTGTAAAAGTTTCCATTGCCTGCCAGCCATTCCCATTTCAGCCTTTACTATAGTCACTATGCCCAAACACAATTC